TAGGAGGTGAACTTGTCTGATCAAACGAGAATCCTTGGGCATTTGAAATCTTTGGTGAGAAATGTCTTGAGAAAAGGGAGGACAAATTTTGGGGTACAACAGCCGCGAACAGAGCTCTGATCGTGGCATCAGCGCCCGCAGGGACGGGGACCTCTTGGAAAGCATTTGGTTCATAGTTTTGAGAGGTGGACATCCTCGTGCCGTCGAGAGTGGGATGACGAAGACGCGGTCAGCTCGTTTCTATAGTTCTGCTTGATACCAACCATGTCGACGTCGTTCCCGATGTTGTTGTTACCAATATTAACGACGACATTGTTGTTGATGTCGACGAGATGGGCGTTTTGGTTGTTGTTGACAACTTGATCGGCATGACAATCACAAAGTTTAATGGAGAGTTGTTTTAGTCTTGAGATGGAGACGGGAAAGCTAGTTTCCCACAGACGGCGCCACTGATCGTACCTGACCAGAAGGGATTGTCAAAGGCGCGAGCTTCGAGTCGAGCAACAGTTGAAGGTGAAGTGGGGTTGGGGTACCTGCAAGACACTCTAATGCCAAAGTGAAGTTCATAGCTAATGCAAGTAAGCGAGTATGAGAGTATGAATGAATCAATACATGCCCCTCTCAAGTGAGAGGATATTTATAGCCTCCAGCACTGAGCCAAGGTCTTCAATGATGGGTCACGACGAGGCCCAACAACGAAGACTGTTAGGGCTTACGTGTGTATGGAGTCCAGCACATGGCCTCCTCCCTGGTCAACTGCTCCGAGAAGACAGGAGCTGGATTTGTTATTCCCAGAGGACAGTATGATGACGATATAGACACGTGGGCAATATCTTTCTAGCGGACACGTGGAGAAGTTCTCAACGGTTCTTAGATTGGACTGCATGCTTTTGGGCCTTTGACAAAAACAGTGAATTAGACCTCCAACGGTCGGGGTGTCGGTCCAATCTAAAACACTTCTCATTCAAACATAGTCAATAAACCAATTTCAACATAATATCAGACACCGTGAAAATTCATGATACTCTTTGTATAATTTGGATAATTTTTTTCCTTTCTTTGTTCTTAGTGCAGAAAAAGAAAGAAAAAAAAGAGACACAACAATAGCCCCGCCAGCCGCCGCCTAAGCTGCATCAAAAAAGCTCTTTCTGAACAAATAACACAATCATAGTTCAGTCACGAGTTCACGCCAACACCGTCAAAATCGACGACAGCCACTTCTCGCGTCACAGCGCACAACCCTTTGTCCTCAAATCATCACCACGCCAAAACCAGCAAATAAACAACATAGAACAAAATGAAGAAAAAAAACCAAACACAGAGAAAGAGAAATTGGAATCGCTTCCAGGAATTAAGCACAATCACTACTGTCTCTCCGAGCTCGTCACAAACCGACGTTGGCATTATTGCTGTTCGCGTCACATGCCACGCATCATCGCAAATCCGGCCGTCACCTCCACTGACAGCGACAATCCAGCCCCCGACGGACCTCCACGCTGCAAGCCGCTGTGAAGCACCAAATCCGCCGGTCTCTCCTCCAAAATATGTCACCCTTTTTTGTACCGGTATGTTCTCTTGTCTTGCACTCTATTATCCCTGTATCTTGTTCTTTGATTGCTTTATCTTGCTGTGTTGATTTTAAAAAATTAAAAAGAAAAAGAGCAAGAAGGTTGGTTTAAAAATGAAGGGCAGAGAGAATACCATAGAAGATGAGAATTAAAAATAATCTGAAATAATGCTCTCTCACACCGTGTTATATTGTTTCATTTTTTTTTTGTATTAATTAAACATGACAAGTGTCAAAATCCAACTGGTTAGGGGTTTGTTTTAAAAATCAAATTTGAAAGGGATGATGTGCAACAACTTGATGTTTCAGTGTTTGTTTTTTATTTACTTGTGGTTATATTATTATTATAGAAATTAGGGTTTGAATTCTTATTTTAGACCATTGGGCCTTCATGATGCTCTCTACCCGTTACACATACCCTATATTATTGATTTACACACCCTTTATTTTCTGTTTTTTTGACTATTTGTTTCATTTTAATCATTTTAGATTAGTTAAAAATATCAAATATACAAAAATAAATAAATACAAAAACACTAGTTATTTCATTAGGTTATTTATTTTAATTAATTTAGGTTAGTCAATAAAATGAAAAACACCAAAAATATGCATCTTTTAAAATTAACTAATTTGTATATATTCTCTAAATTTTTTCGATTAGTTCAAATATCATCTAATTTGTATATATTCTCTAAAATTTTCGGATTAGTTCAAATATCATGATTTACTTGGATATAACTTATGCTTAATTTTCTGATTAAAATCAATCAAATATCAAATATTTTTTAAATCAAATTAATTAATTTCATTTATTATAAATAATAGGATATACATCGAGTAATTAAGTGGTTGGCTCAACGCCTTACCTATTAATTATTTAAATCAAAACTTTTAACACAAATAAATCAAATGAATTTTTTTGTCCCGTGCGATTTAGTTCTGATAAAGATCAACTCTTTATCAATCGAACAAACTAAGATAGTTAATCAATTCAAATTATTTTTTACTAACTTAATCAAAGCTCACGACTTTTTTTTCAATAAAAAGAATCGTCTAATTTCTTTCTACTTGGATAAAAACTTTGCCTACCATAACACAATTTTCAAACCCATGCAAATTTACAATCATTCGAAAGCGACTTAACATGATTCTATAAAACATACTAACCAAACATACTACAAACTACAAAATAGACTTTGATTTCTTTGCAAGATGATATGTAGGCACGCAGTTAAAACCAAGATGAGTTCCTTAACAATTTTTTTTCCATATATACTCGGTAATAACAAAATTTAAGTAGAATTCTCATTAAGTCCTAAACCTAAAAAGGGTCTCCTTGAATACAAGGGAGATAAATGGTGCCTAAGATCTTCTCTTTATCTAATCAAGTTGCGAACTTAGAAATCTCTTAATTTAAGTTTTTTCGTTCATTTCCCGTCCTTAGGATAAAAAGTAGTGGTAGCGACTCTTGTATTTTTTACCGATTACGACAATGTCATTTATTTTTCTGCACTTTATTACTTTCATAACATCACCATAAACCATAAAATAATTCCAACATCACTAAAAACCGATAAAATTTCAAAGTGCCTAATTCATCCCATCCTCTTAGATGCACTTATTACTTACATTTATAATCATAATTGAATTTTGTTTAAATGATTTTTTTAAAATAAAACATGTCTATTATTACCAAAATCAAATAAGTACAAGTCTGATTGTTAGGATCCAAGCAAATAACCAAACAACTAAGCTAAACTACGGGTACTCAAATTACATTTCTAAATGATATTATCTATAATCTTAACTAAAATATTATGGGTCATATTTAGTTGGGAGAAGATTTTCTCATTCCTCCCTTTTCTAAAGTTCATACACGGTTTCCGCACAAACAATCTTTAAGATTTGGCGTCTCAAACCTTTTTTCCGAGTTTCCTTAATTAACCAATCTATCTCCCTATGCCATTCCAAATGGGTTCTTTGAATCCCAACCCAATTCAGAACCTTCTTCCAAATATCATAAAACACATGACAAAAAAAACAAGTGATTCAAGTTTTCCACTTGATCACAAAAGCTACACCTATGATCCAAAGGTATGCCAAAACGGATGTCTATCCTTATTCGGAAGTTTACCATTGAGGATCAGCCAAAGTGTGAAGAGGGCTCTAGACCTTGCTAAATTGTTGAGCATGATCTTCTACCACTCGACTTTCTCTTTCTCCCCTCTAATAGCTTGATAATAGCTTGATACATTGTCTTTGTATGATACCTTTTTCCTTTTTCAACCTCTTTCCAATACGAGATCTCTTTGAAAACATCTTTACACTTTATAATTCTCTTCATGATCCATGAGCAGTTTTGGTTCAAGTCCCATGTCATAACATCATGGTTTTTGTGATAGTAAGTGTTATTCCATCTCACCCATAACTTGTCCGCTTTCGCCTGCAAATTCCAAAGCAACTTCTCAATGGTGGCTTGGTTCCACTCTTTAAGCGCAACAATGTTGAGACTCCCAGCCCTTTCGGATTACACATTGTATCCCATACAATAGGAGCTTTCTTAGTCACTTCATCTGTATTACTCCAAAGGTGCTTCAATATGGTTTATGACTTTTTGAGGCGAAGGGAAAATATGCATCCAATAAGTCGTTACCGCAAACAAGATACTTTTGATCAATTGGTAACCGCCTGCATAGCTCAGAAGATTTGAAGTCCATTGATTAATTCGAGCAGTTATTTTTTCAATCAGGGGTTTACAATTCTGGATTGTAAGTTTTCTGCACGATGGCGGTACTCCCAAATACTTAAACGGCAGTTTGTCCATAGTGAATCCAGTCCTGGTGATAATTCTTTTTTGGATAGCCTCTTTCACCTCTCCAAAGTAAATGTTACATTTAGTGGGGAGAGAAATTAAACATGTTGCATCATAAAAATCCCTAAATTCCTCCATTAACAATCTGACCGACGTTTCATCACCACCACCACGAGAAAATAGGATTAAATCACCAGCAAAGCTAATGTTCAAAATCTGAAGCTTTTCACAGCGCGGATGGAAATTAAAATTGTGGTTCTCCTTAAGATTCTTCATACACCAGTGGAGGTATTCCATAATCAACACGAAAAGCAAGGGGGAGATATGGTCCCCTTGCCTCATCCCGCATCTCGCCTTCAAGGCATCCGTTACGCAACCATTGATACTATACATGTAGGAAACATATTTAACACAAAGCATAACCCATTGGATGAATTGGGCAGGGAAATTCATTTCACGCATGATAGTCTCCAACGTTGACCATTCCACCGTGTCGTAGGCTTTTTGAATATCCATCTGGATGGCACACCAAGGGGATATATTCTTCCTACTATAGCCTCTCATTAACTCTTGAGCAAGCATAATGTTGTCATGAATTAATCTTCCCGGAATGAATGCAGATTAGCTTTCATCAATGATCTCATTAATAATCCTACTCAACCTCAAAGTCAGAATTTTTGAGATCACTTTAAAAATGATGCTGCAACAAGCTATGGGACGCATGTCCTTAATCCTCTTAGCTTCAGAAGTTTTAGGAATTAGTGTGACAAGCGCACAGTTGGCCATGGCAATTAATCTATTACGCACAAAAAAATCCTGAACCGCATCAAGAACTACTCCCCTTGTAATCTTCCATGTACTTTTGAAGAATTTGGAGGTGTATCCGTCAATCCCCGATTTCTTAGAATCATCAATGCTTTTTATATTTCTAGTCACTGGACCAATAAGGTTGTCCCCGTGGGTGTCCTTCAATTGAGGCCCATTCCTAATGGCCACAATATCAATATGCTTCATCTCTTTCCCGTTTGTGCCAACTAGATTGTGATATTGTCCAAAATTTCATGCTCAATGTCATGGAAAGTACTCAGCCTATTTCCATTCTCATCCTCCAAGTTGGGCAGGCTTTTGTGACTATGCTTCCCTCTAACAATAACATGAAAAAAGGCATTGTTTCCGTCTCCAAGTTACAACCAACTGATTTTTCAATTTTTGCATCAAAATCTTCTCCTCATCAGCAGTGGCCCCCAGAATTTTCTCAGTCCACTTGTTCACTTCAGCAGCATAATCTTGGTTAAAAAGATCACCAGCCAATTGATTTTGAGTTTTGTCTAGATTTTCCATATATTCCTTAATTTTGTGTATACCAGCCTGGGCTTTTCTATTCAACCCTCTCAAAAGCGATTGAAGCCTTTTCATTTTCCTCCAAAGCACATACAAGTTTACCCTCTACCCGATGTTTCCAATTATCCTCAACCACCTTCCAAAAATCCTGTTGATCTACTACACTATTTATAAACTTAAACCAAGGTTGTTGTCTACTATCAGTCGTGCTGCAGCCAGGAATAGAAAGTTTCAGCGGGCAATGGTCAGAAATATGACAGTTCAACACTTCAATGGTATAGTTATGACACTCAAGGAACCAGTCCATATTGCAAACAACACTGCCAATGTGAGAGTAAATCAGATCCTCTTTGTGCTTATTCAACCATGTGTAGAAGTTACCAATAGAGGGGTGTTCAAACAGATTGGTGTTCCTCATCATGCTTTCCAAATCATCAACTTCGGCCTGCTGAACCGGGTTACCACCAATTCGATTCATGGTGTTAAGCACATTATTATAGTCACCTATAACTGTCCAGGGGCCTTGAATATTCCCAACAATTCTCTCTATGCCCTTCCACAACATTCTACGGTTTATCAACTGGTTTTAAGTATGCACAATTGTCAGCCATCAAACTCTTTTTCCAACAGTATTAGAAACCTCACAGTGGATGAACTGATCAGATTAATCATGCATCTTAATCACTAAATCCTCCTGATTCCAAATAATCCAAATTCTTCCATTCAGATAGTTGTCATAATTATCAATCCTCCTCCAGTTCTAGCCAAAAACACTTCTAATCTTACCAACATTTTTCTGCTTCACTCCAGTCTCAAGGAATGCTACACAAGACACATGAAGATTCTTAAGATGGGATTTTATCTCAAAGTTCCTTGTTTTTTTATTGAAGCCCCTAATATTCCAAGCTACTAACATGGGTCCCCTAGTAGATGGCTACCCATCACTAGAACTTCAAATCCATTCTTGCTTGTTCCTATATTTTCCACAGCAGCTTTATGATGTTCATCCTCCATCTTATGCCTTTTACCACGGTGTTTGGCTCCCACTAATGTCCAAGCTATCTTTTCTGTTTCAAACTCATTGGTACTGTTAGGTTGCTCAACTTCTTGTATAATTTCTTTTCCTTTCACAGGCTCCTACAAGGATATATTCTCGGTATCTTTGGGTTGGGGTTTATTCACCCATATTTTCCTCTACTGCCCAGGTTGTTGCTTCATCACACAGTCATGCCCAAGTTTGTTACATTGCTTACAAAATATCAGTTTCCATTCATACTCGACCCCCATCAGGATCCCTAATCACAACGTTGTCTTCCCAATTAACAATCAATGGAGCAGTATATTCAAGATTTAAGTCATCAATTGGTAATCTATTACCTCGAATGACATCGACCAAAGCTACTCCCTTGGCTGGTTCTTCTGGTATTGCCTCCTCGATAGGTTCCTCAACTGCTTCTTCAGTAAAAACATCAAGGTTCACTATAGATGGTTGTGGAGCTGGTTCCCTAGAGCGTATAGATCGTTCCCTCAAATCGAGAATTCAAACCTCCCCTTCTGGTGCCTGGGTGAGGTGTAAAGACCCTTATCCCCGCCGGAGGTGTTGCGGTCACGTGTTTCTTCGGCCGACCATGCGCTTTCCCAATTGTTTCCTCCTACACTAGCCTAGACCATGGAATCACCCAACTCTTTGACAAGGTCCCTGATCCTAGAACCATGAGTTTAAACCAAAATCAGAAATGGGTTAACCCCTAGTTAGACTCACCAGAATCAGTTTTTGTGCTTCATCGGAAATTGCTCTCTATCACCGAAAATCGCTTCACGCAAAAATCAAATTATATATGATGCAAGATTAACACGTTGATTTTTTTCGGAATCGAAAGATGAACTTTTCCATGTTATATATGTTTTCTTTGACTTCTTATCTTTATTTCTCTTGAAATATTTCTTCTTATTTTCAAGTGTAGGACAATCACTTTTAATATGTTTTTTTTTCATATTCAAAGCATGTAAATTTCCTTGTTGGTGCTTCTTTTTTTCTTTCTTTTCGAAGAACCTTTTCAATCTTCTTGATAAGATCATCATCTTCACTACTAGTGGATTCATCTTCTTGATTGCTATCATGATTTTTTATCCTCGTTTTTAAAAGCAATGTCTTTTGAATCTTTTCCTTGGATTTCATGATTTTCAAGTCTTGCAAGTTTTGTCTCATATTCTTGAAATTTTCCGAACAAAGTGGCAGAAGTCATTGTGGATAGATCCTTCTTCTCGGATATTGTTGTCACTTTTGGTTGTCATTCCCCGAATAAAGATCTAAGCACTTTAAGACTAAGTTCATCATTAGTTAAAGTCTTACCGAGTGCTTTCAAATGATTTGTCAAGTGCACGAATCTTTTCTGTAAGTCGAGGATTGATTCTCGGGGCTGCATTCTGAATAGTTTGTATTCTTGATTCAATGTATTTAATCTCGATCTTTTAACTTCAGCGGTTCCTTCATGAGTTTCTACCAAAGTATCCCATATTTCTTTTGCCGTTGTGCATGCCGAAACATGAAAGAATTCATTCATGCTAAGTGCACCTTGAAGAAGATTGATTTCCTTTTGTCATAAAGAACCTTTTTCTTATCATCGCCATCCCATGCACTTTTAGGCATTGACGTACCAACACCGTTGACAACACTTGTAGGAACAAATGGACGATTTTTGACGACATCCCATATTTCTTCTCCTTGTGCTTCTAAATGAGCCTTCATGCGGATTTTTCAAAAATCAAAATATTCACCACAAAATAGTGGAGGCTTGTTATTGCTACCACCATCTTTAAAGACCGGATTTTGATTTGCGGAAGCCATTCTGGATCTATAGGAACAAGTTACCTATAATCTGCTCTGATGTCAAATGTAAGTATAAGGTTTTCCTAAGAGGGGAGGGGGGGTGAATTAGGTTCTTTAAAAGTTTTACTGGTTTTAGAATACTTGTTCTTAATTTTTTGATTTGGTGTATGAGTTTACAAATGTGTTTCTTTCTTTTCTGGTTTATGACTAGTGATGAAAGCAGTAAATGCGGAAAAGTAAAGAACAAAAAGATGTATCCTGGTTCCCCTCATAATCCGAGAGTACTCAAGTCCCCTTTCAACATGAAAGAGATTTCATTATTGTTAGATCTCTAGACAAAACACCCTAGTCCTTCTATACAAGACTCTAACCAATAAAACCACCAAGAACAATCCTCTTGGATTTTCACTAAGTACACTAAGAGAAAAATCCTATCTTAATGACTCTCTTGCTTCCAACAATCCTGGACAGCAATATACAACCAAACAAGTGGAACAAGAAAATAATCCTTTTATTTCTACTCTCTTGTTTCCAACAGTTTTGGACAACAAGGAATTACAATACATATCTGAAAAATATTTGAGTAATGAAGTTGATGAGTATTTATCAATAACTTAGATTGATCTTCTCTTTCAAGCATATAATTGTTCTCAATGGTATACAAGTGTTCAATGAATGATACGAAATTTATGATAGTTTTTAATGAAAATTAAGTGTAGAAAGTTTCACTAAAAATTCTGATATGAAAACACTTGAATTTTGAAAGATGAAATGATTATGAATTATTTGAAATGTAGATGAAAGATATTATGAATGCTTTTGAAATTTCATGTATATATATGTTCATAACACCCCTTTGAAACAACATAAGTTTCTGTAATTTAATCATGAACAATTGCCAAGATTAAATGAAAAGATTCCATGAAGTCGTGTATGAAGAGGTATGTAAAAAGTTATTGTTTTTCAAATTTGTTCAGGGTGCAATCGATTGCACCAAAACAACAATCGATTGCATAAATAAGACAAAAAATCTGCAAACAATTTTTTAGGCAATTTTTGAAAATGCTCCAAGGTGCAATCGATTGCACCAAAACAACAATCGATTGCACATAGTAAAAATTCACTTTTTTGCTTATGAAGCTTGTGGGAAAGTATGAGAATATTATGAAATAATATTTATGAACACTTGTATGAATATTTGAGAGTTTTATGCTATACCTTAGACAAAGTGATCAATCATGCTATGATTCTGCAAGACTTGGATAATTCTTTAAAGTTGATATGCTAGATGTCTTGAGCCATTCAATTTGCAAATCTTCTTTGTATGTTAGCCTGTCTTCATCAAAACAATTTGGGAAACTTGACTTCACAATGGTCACCTGCTTGAAATTCTAAATCTTTCCTTCGTTTGTCATGATAACTCTTCTGTCTACTTTAGGAAGCTTTCATATTTTCTTGAATTAACTTCACCTTCTCAGTAGTCTCTCGAACAATTTCAGGTCCAAGCACTACACTTTCTCCAGATTCATGCCAACATAAAGGAGTTCTACATCTCCGACCATACAACGCTTCAAAAGGTGTCAATCCAATACTAGAATGGTAAATGTTATTATAAGTAAACTCTATTAATAGAAGATAAGTATCCCACGAACCTCCCTATTCAAGAGCACATGCTCTCAACAAATCTTCTAACGGCTGAATAGTCTGTTCAGTCTGACCATCCATTTGAGAATGATACACCGAACTCAACCTCAACTTAGAATCCAACGCCTCTTGCAAACTCTTCCAAAAATCTGAAGTAAACCTCAGATCTCTATCCGACACAATACACAAAGGAACACCA